AGAATATGCTGGACTGAACAATTTTGAAAATAATTCGAATGCGAAAAGTATTGACCATTTATGCTTTTTGAACATAACCGGTAGGTATACTGACTGCAGACATTTGGCCATTCTCATCTTAACACAATATAGATGGCCTCCAGTTTATGATGGTTCGATTTTTGACTTTATGATGATGCCTTCAGCTGTGTACAATAGCAATGAGTATCCATAAAACCATCCTGTTTTTCTCTTTGAGTATGGCAGTCAAAAAATTACAAAATATTCAATACTTTTTTATAAAAGATACTTTGTGTTAAATGGTTTTGCCCAGCCATCCACCTTTCACATCATTCATTTGACCCCCACACAAGCTGCTCCTGAACTAAAAATGGTGAAAGAACTAAACTTTCAATGTAAAAAGGTAGAAAAAGGCCCAGCGAGGTGGCTCATGCCTGTAATCCCAGCACTTTGGGAGGCCGAGGTGGGTGGATCACTTGAGGCCAGGAGTTCAAGACCAGCCTGGCCAATATGGTGAAACCCCATCTCTACTAAAAATATAAAAATTAGCCAGGCGTTATGGCACATGACTGTAGTCCCAGCTACTCGGGAGGCTGAGGCAGGGGAATAGTTTGAACTCAGGAGGTGGAGGTTGCAGTGAGCCGAGATGGTGCCACTGCACTCCAGCCTGGGTGACACAGCGAGACCCTGTCTCAAAAACAAACAATCTTCACTTTTGAGTATAAACATAGGGAAGAAAAAAAATCAATGAATAGAATTCGTCTAAACATTGCTTTGTTGGTGTTATGGTGGCAAATATTTCCATCATTTTATGGAACTATTTCCACAATTTCCTTAAATTCTTCTTCTATAAATATCTTAGGAGGTGACTTGACTTTATTCAACATTTCATGGAGTGAATAACAATTCCTTGATAGCTGAGAGCCTTAGAAAGTCCAGTGAATTGCCTACAGACCTGTGCATTAAAAAAAGTGAATATTCATTTCATAGTAACTGTGGATTATCACTTGTTATACCTCAGTATTTAATACAGACAAATGATGAAAACTCAGTAAGAATAATTTTTAGGCATAGCATCTTAAATAAAAAATTTCACAATTTCTTGAGTAAACAACCACAAAATCCTTTCTGTTCACTCATTGTTTCTCATAATAGAAACATTATGGTCTAGGCTTTCATTTTCTTGATAAAAATAGCATAGAAGTACTGCACACAATTGAGAAATGTTATATTGATTATACTGAATTAAACACTATATTTTTGTTGAAGCTCTAGAAACATAATTGCTTATGTATACTTGAAGGTATAAGATATTTTGTGAATATGAAATAACATTTAAGGATTGTCCCTAATTTTCTAAACATTTTAGTTACGAATGTTTGTACTAGTGACCGACTGTCTTTAAATCCATTAGAAAATCAACTTCTGTTCATGAACTTTGTACAGTAGGCAACAGGGATGGACCATGGCTTATAGCATTTAGAGTCCATTAGTGGAATCTAAAAGGAAAATTCAGAAAAAGACAAGGAATATGGTTTAAAAAGAAAAACATTTCAAATAACTCACTATAATTAATTAGCAGCAAAGTAGTTTTTAAAAAAATTTATTCATTCCTCCAAAATTATTTAACTTGTATAAGCTTTTCTCTCTTTCCAAACAGATGTTCATTATTTTCTGGATAAATAAAAAAGAATTCCTAATTCTTTGAATATTGGAGACTAAATGTACACAATACTTACTTTAGCCAATAAACCAAGCAGAGTTTTTGTTTTTGCTTTTTTCAATATGGCAGAAAGCATAGGGAATCAACAGGTTCAAATCATGCAAAATACACTTAAAGTTTTTTTTATGTTTAATTTTCTATTTTAAATCCTTTGACATTGGTACTATTTTCTATAAGGTCCTATCCTAGCATAAGCAAATTGCAATCAGTTCAAAAGCTAAAATTCTTGAGTTTGAGTGAGAAGTAAAGTTTTATCAAAATTGAAAGAAATACATTATGAAGGGTAGAGAAAGCACTCCAGGTTCATCACATTTATGCTTAATGATTATTTGAAAATTTGTACAGCCTGTTTAAAAAACGGTACGTAGAACAAAGGCATAGTTTTTATAAAATCTAGTGATTTTTCTTCCCATGTGAGCTTGTTTGAATGCTTAAAATTCAGTTTTATTTTTGTGGGTTTTTGTTGTCAAGAAAAGCTAAAATAAAGTAAAAATAGCATAATGTTATCTCAAATTTTAAAAAGCGGTCATTTTAGTTTCAAAAAATAAAAAAAGCATGTAATCTTTAAAAAATAAGCACCCACTGGAGAGATATGGAAACTGAAGTAGAGTTCAGTATATAATAACAGAAAAAAGTTAAACACACCAAATAAAATAGAATTTAAATTTAGACTATCAATTTTTTCCTTTAACAATTTTTCATGTAAATTAGAGGAAATTTAAAGATTGATAAGTGAAATACACTAATATTCAGTAGTGTCAAAATTTACCTAAGAAGTAAATTTGGATGTAATACACAGAATTTCCCAAATTATTTCAGTACTTGTCTGTTCATGATAAACCAAAGCACAAGATGATAAGTGGTACAATCTTGGCTCACTGCAGCCTCAACCTCCTGGGCTCAATCAATCCTCCCACCTCAGCCTCCAAAGTAGCTGGGACTACAGGCACATACCACCGCACCCGGCTAATTTTGTTCTTTTTTTTTTGTGGAGACAGGGTTTCACCATGTTGCCCAGGCTGCTCTCCAACTCTTGAGTGTTGGGATTCACTCAGGATGGTGGCGGAAATATTAAAAGGAAAATATTAGGGAAAGTTATAGGGAATAGTCACAAATCTTTTGGAATGCCAAAAGGTTACATAGCTTGTAATAATTGAAGGCAGTGTTTTTACCTTACAGCATTAGGTCATAGGGTAAATACTAGGGACAACAGAGGCTTCCCCATTAAGTCTGTTTACCCGACCTCCATTAACTAACCTTTGAGTCAGATGGCCCTCTGGGGGGAGGTCCACCAGGGAAATTGCTCCCTAATAGTATTTACTTTAGACTGCCTTAACTGAGCTTTAATCTTTCCTAGAACTACTCTCTTAACCATGTTAATTATCCACAAGTGTGTCTACTTAAAGTTTCTGTTGTTAATTCTATACTAAATAAATGCCTGGAGTGCAAGCTGCTCAGGGCCGGCCCGCAGTGACAAACCTCTGATGGTGTGCAGGCAGTTGGACACTCAGCTGGACTGGCAAAGCAGAATATCTGTGTGTCAGTGTATGTTTTATTCAACAGTCGTTTGGGTCAGGGTCTGCAGGCAGACCCCTGCAGCTAATGCCCTCTTGTGAGGAGCAATACCTCGCTTGAGCTCAAGTGATCCGCCCTCCTTGCCTCCCAAAGTGCTGGGATTACAGGCGTGAACCACTGTGTCACGCCACAAGATGTTTTTATAGCATAATTAGTTAAAAATATTTTCTTGGCTTTAAATAATTTCTTTGTATATGCAAAGAGGCATAATAAAGAATAATCATTCACAGAGGACCGTTCCTTTATTAGTCATTTTGGCTTAGTACAGGAGGGTCATTAAATTTAAAGCAGTGTAAAAGCTGTCGGAATCCAAATGGAGTCACTAATGTTAGGAAATCCCTGACAAATAGAGCCAAAGAGAGTCACTAATGTTAAGAAATCCCTGACAAATAGAGACAAAGAGGGCCACAAAAAGAGGGTCCTCATGCTTATATGACTAATAACAAAAACTATCACAAAAGACTTTACCAAAACCACAAGCTTGCACAAAGGCCATTGAAACCTTGCACAAAAACAAAAAATCAAACAAAAAAAACTCCAAAAAACTTCTACAAGGACATTTGCCCAACAACTGCCTGTGCAATCTTGGACTGGTGCCACCTGTCATTGATCTTTGTAGCCAAGTATACTTCAAAACAATTATATAATCCTTCTCACATTTTCCTTTAAGAACTCGTCTTCCTTTACCTCCCTGAATATGCACATAGTTTACTACAGCGTGCATATTCCCATTGTAATGCTATATTTCCAAACCAATATCTTTTCTTTTAGAGAGCCTTTCTCTGTGACTTAGGTTGGCAGCCGGCATAACAAGTTTATAAAGTTTCAGCTTGAGAGATCCTCAGTTTTCTGCATTCTGTAAGTAACAATCATTGGCAGTCTTCTTTTCTAGTGATATACATGTAGAAAGTTATAGCAGCCATACAAAGATCAGAATTTTGCTGAGTTCAACACCGCTTGTCCTTGATAGGAAGGATTTCAAGAGGAAGGATTTGATCCAGTTTTCCAAGGTAATTTTCTGCTGCAATTGAAAGAGGGTTAGTGTAATCTGACTATTGCTTCTTCAAGGTGGTAAGCATATAAATCTGCCAAATAGCTCATTCAGTGTCTTGTGCTGGAAAAATAATTCAAATTGACTCCACCAGTCCATACCAGTGTACTCACCATCCTGGGTCGCCTTTCCGCACCTCAGGCTATTCATTCCAAGTTCTTACCGATTTCCTCGCTCCAGCCCCACGCCTTGTTCTCTGCAGAGCATAGCAAACCAATGCGCTGAAAAGGAGGACAGCCCTTCTGCAATAGTGAAATACTTTGTCCAGTACTCTCAGTGAGGCCAGACCACTGGTTATATAATCCTCAAACGAACACTGGCACGTATTTATTCTTGCGCAGTTTCCAAGAAGGCAACACCCTATCTTTCCTACACTTGGAAAGCCAGGTGTCCACTTCAGTTAAACTCTTTTACCGGCATAGAGCAGGCACTGGATGAGGAAATTGCTTTCCTGAAAGCAGAGTATACATCCGTTTGTACTTGCGTTATGTTAAAACACAGATGAATTGGATAATGAGATTACTGTGACTTTTTTTTTTTTAAGTTTGATATGCGGGTGAAAGAAACATCAAGTTATTTGAAGCCATTTAGAGTACTTCTCCTTACAGTATGGATTACTCAAAACTTTCCATCTGTTTCCTACTCAGATGCTTTTCAAGAAATTATGCATCACCTGGAATAAACAATCAGAACGGCCTACGCACATTCTTCTTAAATTCTCCCCTTTGCCTCGCCCTCTCGCTCCCCGTCACTCATGCCACCAGTCATGCTTTGCGTCATCAAGACGTCTGCTGTGCTCTTTACAAGGATTTCCTGCAGGGAGAAGTGGAGTCGCTGCTGCTGGGCCTTGCTTCGTAGCCCTGGTCCCCTGCGTCCCCGGGGACTGAGAAGTGGCGGCGCTGGGGGGAGGGGGGCCGAGGAGGGGGGTCAATGTGGCCGCCGCGCCCAACCGCCGCGGCGTCCGTGCGTGTCCCCGGGGCGCACGTTGGCGCAACAGGGCCTCCACGTGGCGGGCTGCGCAGACCTGCCCAGGAGCCCCGCCCGGCCCGGCGGTCTCTCCCGGGCTCTGTCTGGTGGGGGCGGCGTGGCGGGCGGCCCGGCTCTCTGACTTGATCTGAAAACGCGAAGCATTTGCGCCCCGCGTGGAAGCGGGGGGTGTCCGTTGAGCCGAGCCTAACGTCCAGGGCAAACCGTAATCCTGCGTGGGTCTCGAGGCGCTTCGCGTCCAACGCTGTTGCAGCCTCGGATTTCTTGGCGGGATGCGGACGCTGGGAACGGGGAGAACCTGGGTCAAAATGGCCAGGAGCTTTGGACCGGTTCAGGGTCAGCTGCGGTTCAGCAGGTTCCTGAGCGGTGGCCTCCCAGGCAGGCGGTTTGAGTCTGCGCATTTTTTTCTAAATATCACCAAGATGTCCATTATTCCTTTCTTGAGCCGTTCGTTCCCTTCCGCCCGTTAAAGAAAGGCCTCCGCCTCCCATCCGGGACATACTGCCTGCGCTCCCTCCGTTTGAGGACCGGCCTGGGCGACGTGCACAGTGACCCGCCCATCTGCATGTTTAGGACGGTGCCATCCATGCCACTGCCCAGCGGCAGACAAGAGTCCATGAGTCTTGCGGGTGTGGTAACCAGAAAGGGAGGGCCGGGAGCCAGGGGAGGGGATTCCAGTCTCTACCCAGACCCTAAGAACTTCTAGATTCGGGAGACACATTAACAGAGGCTTCCTGGAATTCGGGGTGACTTCTTCCATGTCAGAGTTAGGATGATGCGGGTTTCAGGCCAGTGGAGGAGAGTTTGTTTTCAGTAGGTGTGTACAGGGGGACAGAGGTAGGGCATAAACTGGGGGAATTTTTAGGGGCTTTAAAATCTGGCTGTCTAAGGGTAACCCACTTCCCCTTGCAGGGGTTTGGCTCTGTCTGAAGGTGTGCGCATGTTCGGAGTGTGCCAGGAGCCTCAGGACCCCATCCTGTTTCAAGGTGTTTAGTGCTTCCTGACTCCTACTCCTCTCTCTGAGATCTGCCTTCTTGGTTGGTGTTCCCCGTGGAGGCCACCCTGGCCCAGTCCTTCGTCTTCTGTTTTTTTCTCCTCCTTTTTGCATTTTTCTCCTCACCTTCTGCATTTGCTTTTCTTCGTTCTTTGCAGTTTCACCCTCCAGTGAGTTTGATCCAATCTCATGACTCTAATTACTAATTTGCATTCATGACTCATAAATCTGTCTGCACCAGACCTCTTGCCAACCTGCACTAACTGCCTGTTGGATACATCCCTTGGCTGGCTGCCAGGCTACAAATCTAAACTCCAGGTCACCATATTCCCTTTGAACCAGCTCCTCCTCGTGTGGTGCCTGCTTCTGTTAAGGGCACCCCTATCCTCCCACTCTCCTGAGCACAACCTTAGACTGATCTTTGATCCCTTCCCTGGCCACCCCATCCAGCTGCGGGGGGGGTGGGGGAATCCTGTCCCTTGAATCTTTCTGTTACTACCAGTATGTCCTCCCTCAAGCCTTTGTCACCTCTTGATTATTAAAGTAGCTTCCCAACTATTCTCTGTCATGCTGATTCATGTTACACAGTCTTCAAGATCAATCTTTCTGATTATATTGTTTCCTTGATCAAATTACAACTAAACACCTGTGCAGTTGACGGGGTAAAACCTGTCTTTAACTTATGTAAAGTTAAACTGATGTTTCACTTATGTAAAGAAGGCTTTCACTTATGTTTAAGACCGTCTGATATGCTTTGGCTCTGTCCCCACACAAATCTCATCTTGTAGTTCCCATAATCCCCACCTGTCCTGGGAGGGACCCAGTGGGAGGTAATAGAATCATGGGAGCGGTTACTCTCATGCTGTTTTTTTGATAGTGAGGTCTCATGAGATCTGTTGGTTTTATAAGGGGCTTCCCCTGCCCACCGCACCCACCCCTGCCATCCTGCTTCACTTCACACTTCTTGCTATGTGAAGAAGGACATGTTTGCTTCCTGTAGGCCATGATTGTAAGTTTCCTGAGGCTTCCCCAGTCATGCTGAACTGTGAGGCAATTAAACCTCTTTATAAATTACCCAGTCTTGGATATGCTTCTTTATTAGCAGCATAAGAACAGACTAAAACACCATCTATAATCTGATCCAGGCTAGTTTTCTAATTGTATCTCCAGATTTTCCCCTTCACAGCCTACCCTCCAGCCAAATCAAATTGTCTATATTCTGAGACATACCTGATTCCTTCCTGACCCCCAAACCTTTGCTTCTGTGTTTTCTTCCACCTGGAGTTTCTTTTTCTTTATGTCCACTTGTCTAGATCCTACCCATCAGCTGGATGTCATCTCCTCATCACCATCCATGGGAGTGCATTTGGGCTGTGCCTGGTACAATACTTTCTACTTGCATTGCTTTCATTATAAGGCCATACATAATTAAACTAAGTTATAAGCTCTGTGAGGTAGGATCCCTAATTTATTTTTACCATTCCTTAAGTGCTTGGCCACAACTTTTTAGATGTTCCATTAAAATGTGTTGAATAAATGTATAAATGATTATGCATCTCAGTCTGCTCTCTGTTACCTCTTTTGTCTTTGTTATTGAAAAGGAGTGAGTCTAAGAGTTTCAACTACAAAAAAGCTACCATCATACAATTAACAATTTGTTGCCATGTATCTTGTGTACCTTAGTACAGAACTGTACTAAGTCTTTTCAAATGCATTAAAAATGTATTAATATTTAATCACGTGAGGCCGGCACAGGTCTTGTGGCTAAAGGAAGTTACAGCTGACATTAAGTTGGAATAATGGAGTACTGTTTGTAATATCCTTGCCAGACACCAGACACCTATCCCCTTCTTCCCCTGTGACCCCATTGGAAGTCTTTCTTCACTCATTTCTCCACGATGGTGTTGCAGGCTAAGAAAAACAGAAAACAAACATGATGCTGGGAACACCAAGGACTGGTTGGGGAATAATAACAATAGTCATTATAATAATCATTGTTAATATTTAGCTGTTAGTATGTGCTGGCACTGTGGTAAACACTTATAGAGCTAAGCTCATTAAATACAAAGACACGACTAGGTAGATCTTTTTGCTCTTTTACAGTTGTGGAAGCTGAGGCACAGGTAGGTGAAAATCTTGCCTAAGGTCATACGTACAGCTATTAAGAGGCAGAGCTGGGATTTGAAGCCCGCATCTGATTTCAAAGCCACCACATCACTCCAGCCTTTTCAACTGATCAGGATTTTCTGAGTGCAGAAGCTCGGTGACAGATGCAGAAAAAGTATAACATGATGCCTTCTTTAGAGAAACTTGCCACCCAGCTGGGGCAGAGTCAGGGAACCCTTTGGATGAATAAATAGCTTTCAGTTCTTTGTGCTGCCTCAGCATGCGGTCCCCAGCATTGGGTGGTTTGTGCAGTTATCACCTCTTTCAACAGCTGGCTCTCCACTAGACTTTGGACTCCTTGGGCAGGGACTTGTGCCATTTACTGCAGTTCTTCCTCTGCCGAGCACAATGCTTTGCACATAGCAGGTGCATAGAATATACTTTTTGAACTGAACCAAAGTGACAAGCGGAGTTTTCCAGAAGCCAAATATAATAGCAGAGCAGAAGTGGGATTGTCTGTTGTGCTGGGGACATTGGGGGGCTCAGGAATGAGAGGTAACGGAGGAATGAATGAGGTTTAGAGCCTTTTCCTTTGCTGTTCTTCCCTTCTCTTCCTCTTTGTTTCCCTTCCCTTCTCTTCCCTTCTTTCTCTTCTCTTCTTTCCTATCCACTCCCCTCTTTCTTTCTTGGTATTCACTTTTACATGCTGCACCTTGTGAAGGTGTTTTAATCAAATGATTGATTTCCTTTGCTGGTTCCCCACAGCCACTAAATCTCTTCCACCTGATGGTGCCTCTGCCTTTTCCCTCATGTCACAATGCAAAAGGGATTGTCCACAGCAGCACTGTCCAACAGAACTACCATGCAAGCCACAGGTGGAAGTCAAGTATAAAACATAAATTTTTCTAGTAGCTATGTAAAAACAGTAAAACGTAAAATTAATTTTAGTGATTTATACTTAACCCAGTATATCCAAAATATCATTTCAACATCTTATTGATATAAAATTATTACTGAGGTGTTTTTGAATTCTTTGGTACCATATCTTCAAAATGCAGTGTGTGCTTTTCACTTGCAGCACATCTCAATCTGGACTAGGCTCATTTAGAGGGCTCCCGAGCCCCACATGGCTCCTGGCTATGACTTGGTCAGCACATGGCTGGAGCCACAGCAGGGCTTCCTAACCTCGTCCAGGTCATGCCACTCTTGGGAAGTGATGGTATGGTATAGCACACCTGGGGCAAATGGAGATGTCTGATTGGCTGAAGGTTGCTGTGCAGCTGGAAGAATCAGTAGTTGGACTACCGGCAACCTTTTCAGGGCCCAGATGGGAAGGACCATTTCTTAATCCTTTAAAATCCATATTCCCCTTTGATAAGCAGAAAAATCCTATAACTTTCTGTTTGAAAATTCAAAGTAATTTTATTTTCTAAATGAAAGCCTTATACTGGTTGGGATCGTGAAATGACTTTTAAATTGACATATGTCCCCTGCCCCCATAATGCATTGAGAATTACTGAGGAGGGGAGCAGAGAATTCATAGTCAAGGTGGAGGGACCTCATACCAGGTCCATAAACCAATCCACACAGATCATTCAAATCTGCTCCAGTGTGATTGGGCTGTTTATTGGCAAAGTTGGGGCCAGGCCCCTCTCCCTGCCAACTGCGCCCACAACTTCAGTTATGGCGAAGAACACAGAAGACCCTGGAAACATTCCTGACTCTCCTAGACCCTGGGGGTGGAGGAGAAAAATCAAAAGAGAA